TCCCATATATCTGTATCAATAATCAGTTGGCAACTTGAACCTACACAGAGGGCATACATGACCATACCTCAACCACTGTTCAATGCAATGTCCATGAAACATATGAGAGCATGGCAAGCAAGTGACTTGATCCCCACTCAACATCTTTCCCAAGCAAACCACACAACGTTGATCGCTGCTCGAACCGCATTGCACCCCTCCATCAAACACAAACTTCTCCAAGGCCTCAACTGATGCTCTAGTTGCAGGCATTGGGCTGAACACTGCTTCCTCTAATGACTCTCTCACGGCTGCTTCTGTCAATGCGCCATCGTCGATATCCCCAGTGTTTTGTGCCAATGTATCCAAGAAAGAGCGCATGTTTGCACAAGTTCTTATCATACTGTCCCGGAGGCTCAATAGCTTATCTAGAACATCCTCCATTTGATGAACATCATCAGCAGAAAGCATAACACTAGCCCGGAATGCAAGTGAGTGCCAGCCTTCCCTCAGCCGCTGTGCCCAACCCTCCCCTATTTGTTCAATAGCACCCGAAGAAAGTGCAAGCGGAGCATAATATGTCTCTATTTGCGCGTTCACCTCATCCCTGAGCTCCCTGTCCTCAACCTCCAACTGCTGCATTTCGTCGAACAGTTGGTGTGCAAGCATTGGAATCTCCTTCTCAACTGTGACAAGTATGCCAAGCTTCTTGTTAAGTCCAGCAGCTCCATGATTTTCCACCATGGTACTAGCCTCAAGAGCCATTCTGCTTACCATAGCTTCAACGCTCTCGAGTGGCTCTGTGTTGCCACCACCAAAACGCTGCGTTTTCCATCGGAGCCGGTCCAATGGGAACGGAATGTGCATTGCGTCGATCATGTTTGATAAAATATCTCGTGAATTGGACTTGAATGAGTGAAAAGGATGATCAAGTTCGAGTCTTGCATCGTAAGCTCTGGTGGGCAGAGAAATATCTGAATTAACATTGTAGCTTACGACGACATTCAAAAGAATCGAGACCTCAGGAATCGGAATGGGAATGGGAAGCGATTCATCATCTGAGAAAGCTTTCTGCTCGACCGTGACAAAAATGCCATAGTCGTGGCTGCTGTTGGAACTGAAAGCTTGCATATTTGCTCAGAAACTTGCAGGTCCTTGAATTTCACAGGTATATATATATGACTAAAATCTAAAATAAAATTGGTATTTATTTATAGGCAACATAAACTTGACTTACGTTGATTTTTTTTTTTTTTTTTTAATTTTTTATAATGCCTTTCTATTGCCAAATATAAAAAATAAAAAATAAAAGTCTCCCATGTTCTCACAAAATAAATTGGAGAAAACTGGGCGTATAAATTGGGATTATAAGGTTTTTAGGATATTTCATTTTTAGCACATTCTTACATGCTTGAAATTCCCAAGCTCATTAGATTTCCATCTTTAGTTTTAATACAATTTGGAACCAAGCATAAGAATGTTCATCGGAAACATCATGAAAATCACTTGAAAAACACCAAATTTAAAACACTACAATTAGTAGTAATGACAACTTAGAAGTAAAATAAATATGTTTACTTACTCCAACAGAATCGTTTGGAAACTACAATTTCATGAAAGTAGCGTTGGTTTTTATGATGCAGAACATATGGGAATGGGGTGCTAATGGTTTTTATGAAATTTCATTTTTAGCACGTTTTTAGAAAGTAGCGTTAGAATGATCATTAGAACGAACATCATGAAAATCACTTGAAAACTCCAAATTTAAAACACTGCAATTAGTAATGATAAGCACAACTTTTGTTAGTATGATATACATTGTTATACTCATCATTCCTTGATACCATAATCGTTTCGTGGTCATGTGATAACATGATATCAAAATTTCATAGAGCTTTTAATCTCCCCCAAATTATTTCTACTTTTTTCCTATGTTCTGGGATTATCGGTATTTCTTGTTTAAGTGAAACCCAAGCACAAGCACAACTTTTGCCACATAAAGAAGGAGACTGTCAAAGCTAGACTAAAACTAGCCATCACATTTACCACAAATACAATCCCAACCCCATATATCTGGAATTAGATTAACTTTAACTGCATAATTCTGAAAAATTAAAGAACTGAAATTCAAAGCTCAAGAGCAGGGCTCGGTTATCCTATCCCATGTCAGCAAAGTATCATTAAATTTGACAGAGAGCTAAAATTTGACTGAAAATTCTCTCCCATCACAAATGCACCATGGTCATGGCCATGCTGACTGTTGATTGAAACCTCCATTTTTAATTAACTCAGAAAGTTTGTGCACCTAAAGAAGAGAGATGTGAGAGGCTTTTTGTTAAGTAGTTGCATCAATGGATTAATTTCTTTCTATGCAAGAATGATTGTGATTTCTTTCTATGCAAGAATGATTGTGATTTCTTTCTGGCCATAGGAAACTGAGATATATTTATATACAAATTCTGTATCAATCCCATATGTCTGGAATTGCAAAAGATTAACGTTCGCAGGTAGATAACGGAAACTGCAGAAATTCTGGAAAATAAGTGAAATTCAAAGCTGAAGGACTCTCACAACAATCATCCCATATATCTGTATCAAGAATCAGTTGGCAACTTGAACCCACACAGAGGACAGATATGACCATACCTCAACCATTGTTCAATGCAGTTGGCATGAAACACATGAGAGCATGGCAAGCAAGTGACTTGATCCCCACTCAACATCCTTTCCAAGCAAATCACACAATGTTGATCGCTGCTTGAACCGTTTAGTACCCCTCCATCAAACACAAACTTATCCAAGGCCTCAACTGATGCTCTGGTTGCATGCATTGGTCTGAACATTTCTTGATTTAATGACTCTCTCAAAGCCTCTTCCATCAATGTGCCATCGTCGGTATCCCCTGTGTATAGTCCCAATAGATTTAAAAGTAGGCGCAGGACTGTACAATATCTCACTCCACTGTCCCGAAGGCTCAATAGCTTATCTCGAGACTCCTCCAATTTATGAATATCATCAGCAGAAAGCATAACAACACTATCCGATAATATAATCGAGTCCCAGTCTTCCCTCAGTTCCCGTGCCCAACCCTCCCAGACTTGTGAAGCACCATGTAAAGAAAGGTCAAGCAGAGCATCATTGGTCTGTATTCGTGAGTTCACCTCATCCCTCAGCTCCCTGGCCTGAACCTCCAACTGCTGCATTTCATCAAACAGATGGTGTGCAAAAATTGGAATCACCTTCTCAATCGTAAAAAGAATGCCCAGCTTCTTATTAAGTGCGGCAGCCGCGTGATTCTCCACCATGGCACTAACCACAAGCGCTATTTTGCTTACCATAGCCTCAACGCCCTCAAGTGGCTCTGTGTTGCCGCCACCAAAACGTTGTGTTTTCCATCGGAGCCGGTCTAATGGGAAGGGAATGCGCATTGCATCGATCATGGTTGATATAATATCTCGTGAATTGGACTTGAATGAGTGAAAAGGATGATCAAGTTCGAGTCTTGCATCGTAAGCCCTGGTGCGCAGAGTATTATCAGAATTAGTGGTGTAGCTTATGAGGACATTCAAAAGAATCGAGATCTGAGGAATCGAAATCGGAATCGGAATGGGAAGCGATTCATCATCTGGGAAACCTCTCTTCTCTACCGCGACGAAAATGCCATAGGCATGGCTGCTGTTGGAACTGAAAGCTTGCATATCTTTTGGCTCAGAAACTTGCAGGTTCTTGAATTTCACCACAAACTTGAAGGTTCTTGAATTTCATCATTTGGCTCTTTCTTTTGCCCCTTCATTTTCTTCATTTTTTTTTATAGTAGAAAGAATAACAACAATGCTTAACGGCAGCTCCTTGGAGAAACCATTAAAATTGAAGGCCAAAAAGGGGAAAAGTAGGTATGTATGTCTTTTATTCGGCAAAATTTTGTCAAAATACAACTAAAAAGTTCAGCTATTATCTAATCTTTTAATAATCTTTTAAATATATATAATTTTTATTCAATAATAAAAATAAGTGAATTTTATGTATTATTCAAAATTTTGTAAAAAATACGTGTATTAAATGTGAAAAATGCATATATAAATGTATTATATGTTTGCTTTTAAAAAACGTGTATTTTACCGAATCTTTAAGACAATATGGAAAACTGACGTATTATTAAAAAAATACATATGTGTATAATAACGGGAAAATGCTAACTAAGCTTTCAAGTACATTAGCATCGTAACAAATGCATCCCAAGTTCTCACAAAATAAATTTGGAGAAAATTGGGTACATAAACTGGTGTTCTAGGCTTTTTATGAAATTTCATTTTTTAGCACATTCTCGTATAGTCAGCAGATTTGAAATGTCCAAAATTAACAAGGTATATAGTCATGTCAAATTTTCTTTAGTTAAAATAGAATTCAATATAATTTCCATCTTTAATTTTAACGAAACTTGCTCATTATTATGATTATTGTACTCGTTCCTTCTAGTGTAATCATTTGGAGGACACATGATTACCTAATTTGATATCGAAGTTTTGGTTCCTAGAGGTCTCCAATTAATCTCCCCCAATTATTTCTACTTATTTCCTCCAATGTGGGATTATCGGCATTTCTTGTTTAAGTGAAATCCATATAAACTTAGCTCTTGTAACTTCATCCTCAAGTTTCACCACCCTGTCTGCAAGAACCTCCAGCCGTTGGACCTAATCAGAAAGCAAGATAGCATCATTACCTCTGCCATAGTGAATCCCTCTCTTCATTATGCAAAAAGCTTGTGGGCGCTTAAAATAATTGAGTACTAATTTGTTTTTGGCAAGAAATTAATTCCAGGAGTCAAGCATGTTGCGTCATGTTTTCTAATTTATTATTTTATACAAGTAATTAATTATTCTAATTAATCTAATTTACGGTAAGAGAATTCGAATTTGAATGCATATTATTTTGTGTTTTAGTTTGTTATGTTGTGTAAATCTAAACTAAAACCTCTCCGCATCATTGACCAAAAAAAAACACAAACATTTTTCATGAAAATAATGTTCCGGTAACATGTTATCACCTGGTTAGATTTTTGGGGTCAAAATATCTTCTAGTGGGTGGACCGTCTGATTTCTATTCACCTAATTTGACTCTCTGTCTCTCTTCCTACTCCGCAAGCTGCACAAAAATGGCTTTGCATGCTCCAGTCAATAACCAGCAGTCTCAGATTCACCGTCTAAATCTCCATCATCGAACCCAAATTCAGCTCCGAAATCTCTATTTCAACATCCCAATCTCGCAGTCTCGAGGAACCCTTCGTTCTCGCTCGATTTCACATCCTCTGTTGTGTGAGTTTCTTCGCCATTTCTCTCTCAATTCGATACATTTCTTTACTTCCCGGCGCTTATTTTCATTTGTGTTTATCGTGTTTGTTGTGCACAGTGCGCAAATGTGTATCGGAGAAGATTTCGGGTTCTTTCGATTCGGATTCGGGTCGAAATTATGCATCCGAACCACCGGAGGTGCTCTCTGTTCCTGACTTTTTCTTTTACCATTTTTTGTTGTTGTGATTTTTTATATTATTTTGTTGCTTACTTTTATGAACCTCTATCCTTTGTTTGATTAGATTTAGTAGACGGATCACCTGCGTATTGTTTATGCAATGTGATCAGGTTAGAGTGGGATGAGAGTAGATTATTCGAGGAATAATAAATAATAATAAAAATGATAGTGATCCAATTAAAGGATTTAAATCTTTTATAATTTTTTTAATAAAACTGACAGAGATGTAGTTGCTATCTTTATTATTTGGTTTTTGTTTTTTGTTTTTTTCTTGGGAGAGTTATTTGGTGATTGACAAAGACTACATCAAAATTATTGTTAGGATAAATGTACATCCCTAAATGCATTTATTTTCTTTACATCTAGAAAATTTAATCTTTGGTATCTTTTTCTTCCTAAGAGTTACAACTTTCAATTTACTTACAATATTGGGCTGATTCTAACGCCAATCTTTTCTCTTACTCATCAAAAGAAAATTTTATGAAATGACTATTTTATTTAGTTACTGTTTTTTTTTTTTTCAAACTTCACCTTGTCATTTAGTTTTGTTTCATATAATCACCTTAAAAAAGCATAAAATTCACCATATCCACAATTACTTTCAATTTTTGAATTTTTTAAGTGTAAAACAAGTGAACATAAATAAAGAAAAGGGCCAGTCATGGCGCGCATGGTCAACTGGGGGAGAGGGGAAAGGTTGATGACATTGACAGGAGATGGAAGGAGGGAGGGTGCTCAATTTTGTTTTGTGTTTTTCTTCCAATTTTTCTTTTTATTTTTCAAAATTATATAAAGAAGGGTAAATATGTATCAAAAATTGAGGGGATTGATGAGCAAGATGGGTGCCGAGAGAAGTACTCTGAAAAGAGTAGAGTGAGTTATTTGAAAATAAATGTAATGAGGGGCTTCACTGATAGAAAAAGTCAGACCAATCCAAACCTCAGCTTGGCTTGGTTCATTTACACCCCTCATTACTGTTCATTTTACAGGGCATTTGCAAAATATTTTCAGGCCATATTGATTGTAGTTATTGTATGTCTCATTTCAGATCCCTCAACAAAATAATGTTTCTTTTGTGGAGGTCCTGAAGAAATCAAATTCTTTCCTGCCACATGTAACTCTTGCTAGTACGCTGTTGGCTCTTGTCTTTCCACCTTCTTTCACATGGTTTACCAACAGGTTCTTGAACCTTGTTTAGATAAATTGGTTGGTCAATAATTGAATATTTTGTTTACACTATTCCATTATAGAGACAATGAGCTACTTCCAAGGAAGGTTGACTTTTAACATCACTGTGCTAAAAAATGGAGTTTGGCTGAATGCAGTTGTGGTCCTTGTGTATACATTTTATTTTAAAGGGGAAAACTAAGTGAATGAACAGGAAAGAAGAAGAAATTCATCCAATCACAGTTAGAAATATAATTTGTATATATTGGCTTGTTACGTAAAATGCATTTGGAATTAGTGAGTACTGGGTCTTGGCTATTTCTATGTTGATTGTGTATTCTCTTTGCTGCCTAACATGTCAGGGAAGCTTTAGTTCATTTTCTATGTAAATTGTAATTCATTGCATAAAACACGTGTACTTTTATTGTAAGCACACTTTTCATCCTATAAATAACTAAGTGTTTCAATTTGGCTCCTTCAAACATGATCAAACACAATTAGTTGACTTGCGGCCTCTTCCCTTTGTTGTAAATTGTAATAACAGTCCCATGCTCATGTGGTGGGCACCTTTGCAGTTTTCCATTCATTTAATTAAACAGACATGGACAGAGGGATCTAATTGTTTTGAAATCCAGATTAAAACATTTTGCAAATTACAGAATGAAGAGTGAACTTCAAATTAAGTTGTATTTCCTGCCCTTAAGTATTCTGGTGCAGCTATTGGAAGGTGGAAAGTTTAGATTTGATGTCGATGTGAAATTAAATGTCGTATCCATTGAACAAATGATATTGTGCTAAGGACATGCTTATAATTGTGTTCTTGCAATATCGTTCCAGGTACTATGCACCTGCCTTGGGGTTTTTGATGTTTGCAGTGGGGGTTAATTCCAGTGAAAAGGATTTCCTCGAAGCTTTCAAGAGACCAACAGCTATTCTTGCTGGTTATATTGGCCAATTTCTTGTCAAGCCACTTCTTGGATATATTTTTGGCATTATCTCAGTAGCAATATTTGGTCTTCCAACTCCAGTAGGTATGATTCACCCTGCCTCCCTGTCAAAACACCCGGCATGAATGTACTAAATTTTCTTGAATCTGTGATCAGGTGCTGGAATTATGTTGGTATCTTGTGTTAGCGGCGCCCAGCTCTCAAATTATGCTACTTTTTTGACTGACCCGCCAATGGCCCCTCTAAGCATTGTCATGACATCACTGTCTACTGCTACTGCAGTATTCATTACACCACTCTTATCGCTCTTGCTCATCGGAAAGAGACTGCCTGTTGATGTAAAGGGAATGGTGTCCAGCATTCTGCAGATTGTAGTTACACCAGTTGCTGCAGGGTTGCTTTTGAATCGGTGATACACCAACTCTGAATAACATTCTTTTAGCCCAATGTTCACTTGTAGAGATTCTGACTTGTCTATTGTAATTTCGCCTTCAGGTTCTTTCCCCGAATATGTGATGCTATTCGGCCATTTTTGCCTCCGTTATCTGTATTAGTTACAGCTTGCTGTGTTGGAGCACCACTTGCCATTAACATTGAGTCTGTTATGTCTCCTTTTGGACTAACCATTTTGTTGCTGATTATCGCATTCCATTCGACTGCTTTTGTAGCTGGTTATTTCCTTACTGGCATGGTCTTTCATAAGACACCTGATGTCAAAGCACTACAAAGAACACTATCCTATGAGACAGGTTCCTCCTTTGCCTTATCAGTA